GAGTCCCCTCAGCATGGAAGCCTTTGGTGCTCCGCACTGTTAATGGTGTCAAGTGACACGGGCAGATTTCTGAGGTGGTGTTTAACAGGTGCCCAGACTCCTCTGGTGTTCAGGGGAAAGTCGGAGCCTTTTACTTGGTGGACCATCATGGAGGCAGCGAGACAGCTGAGGGCGGCTGCTGGACTCTCCTTATTTGCTTTGTGTGTGTGTGTGTGTGTGCGCGCGCTCTTGGGAATTGATACACTCATACCTAACGACATGCCCAGCCTTAGGGCTCTTCCTTTGTAGAGGAGAAAAGAATAGACATGATCTAATCTGGGATTTGCTGTTTTTGGGCAAAAGATGGCAAAAACATCTTACTGGAGGCGAGATGGAATGGCTGTCCTGTCTGACTTCCCATCTCTGCTCAGGGCTCTAGGTTGACTTGGATGATCTGAAGAATGGCCATACCAACTGCATGCATTATACAGGGAGATTTTTTTTCTTTCATGTGTTGGTACTGGAGCTTGAACTCAGGGCTTGGCCTCTGTCCCTGAACTTTTTTTTTTGCTTGGTTGTGGAGCCTGAACTCTGGGCCTGTGTGCTGTCCCTCAGCTCTTCAGCTCAAGGCAAGCACTCTACCACTTGAGCCACAGTACCACTTCTGGCTTTTTCTGCTTATGTGGTGCTGAGGAATCAAACCCAGGGCCTCATGAATGCAAGGCAAGCACTCTACCATTGAGCCACCTTCCTAGCCCCTGAACTTTTTGTTGTTGTTGTTCGTGGGGTTTGCATTGAGGGCCTGGATGCTGTCATTAAGCTTTTTCACTCAAGGCTAGTGCTCTACCACTTTGATCCACAGCACCTCTTTCGGCTTTCTGGTAGTTCACTGGAGATAAGAGTCTTACAGATTTGCCGGGTGCTGGTGGCTCACGCCTGTAATCCTAGCTACTCAGGAGGCTGAGATCTGAGGATCGAGGTTCAAAGCCAGCCCGGGCAGGAGAGACCGTGAGACTCCTATCTCCAATAAACCACCAGAAAACC